AACGTTCACACCAACACTCTTTTAGAGTTCACGTTAGACGTATAGCGTCCTTTTAAAAACACGATATACAATGTATAAACGTACATGTTTTTTCCACGTGTGATTACATATACATATCAAAATCAAAGCTGAAAAAAAAGGATAAGGCTCAACTTTCAACCTAGGTCTGTTTAATAATTTGACGTACGTAGAACGATCATGGGGTTGTGGCAAAGGGTTCACAGTATGACACCGTTTAGAGGTAAAATTTACAGCAGTTAGCGACATGATATTCCGGTTGACATGACCTAAGAGATTGTGACAGACAGGGAAACGAGATTTCCAGGTTTTCGCCAAATTTTTTACCTCAGAATTTGTTCCGAGCGGTTTGTGGAATTTCCCCTCTAACTAGGGTCAAATGTTGTACTGCATGAACGCATGCAGACTTGTGTCTTAAACCTGGACGTCCCGTGTTCACGGAGAGCCACACATCGAGTGTATAGCATACCAGATATAAGTATGCCATGGAATAGCTTTGATGTAACTTAATAAAGTAATTGAATTACCAGAAAATGTACTGCGAAAATCCGCATTGAAATCGTTTTGGGTTCCTTTGAGACTATATACATTTGAGGCCATATACATTTAAAAGTATAAACATTATACATTATAAAATCTACTCCAGTCAAGAACCGTGATGAGGGGGATACAAGCTAAGTCACGTTCGGAACCGCGTTATTCTTACTGCAGCGACACCTTGCGGCGAGAAGTAGAATCAGACCTGAATAATCATAATGTAGCTGAAGGACTACCCTTGGCAAATAGATTATTTTTGTTGAGCAACAAAGAACTTTATGATAGATCCCAGACAAGTCGTTTTGCCTGGATTTTTCTAATATACGATAAGCTACACTGTATTATATGAATCAGGATTTGAAAAAAAAACGTAACAGAAGGGCTACCCTTGGCAAATAGATTATCTTTGTTGGGCAACAAAGAACTTTATCATCGATCCCAGAGAAGCTGCTTTGCCTGGATTGTCCCTAATATACGATTAGCTGCGCTGTATTATATGAATCAGGATGTGAAGAAAAAAAGCGTAACAGAAGGGCTACCGTTGGCAAGTAAAACATTTTTGTTTGACAACAAAGAACTTTATCATCGATCCCAGACAAGCTGTTTTGCCTGGATTCTCCTAATATACGATAAGCTACACTGTATATAAATCAGGATAATGTAAAACCAAAACTAACTGACACCTATATGTGTTTCTGATTATCGCCAAGATTTACAGCTTGTACCAAACCCCTGGCTATGATGTACCGTGTAATCTTTTAACAAATGCTGTAGTCAAAACATTGGCAGAGGATCAACACATTACACGTATTTGTGGCGCTTTTTTCGGTTCAGTAGCAGCAAGGCGGTCTTGTGGTAAGGGTTGACTCAGATTCCGAAGGTTTTGGGTTCGAATCCCTAGCAGGCTTCATTCTTTGTGTTCTTCAGAAAGGCATTTCCAGGGGTGCCAAAGAATTCATCATTTTACGGAATTCATACGATCCATTACTAGGAAACATACGAATTTTACGGAATGCATACGATCTATCACGTATGTTTCCTAGTAATGGATCGTATGAATTCCGTAAAATTCGTATGAATTCCGTAAAATTCGTATGAATTCCGTAAAATTCGTATGAATTCCGTAAAATTCGTATGAATTCCGTAAAATTCGTGTGAATTCCGTAAAATTCGTGTGAATTCCGTAAAATTCGTGTGAATTCCGTAAAATTCGTGTAAATTCCGTAAAATTCGTATGAATTCCGTAAAATTCGTATGAATTCCGTAAAATTCGTATGAATTCCGTAAAATTCGTATGAATTCCGTAAAATTCGTATGAATTCCGTAAAATTCGTATGAATTCCGTAAAATTCGTATGACTTCTTTGGCACCCCAAATTTAACACCTATTTCCTCACATGACTCAGGTGGAAATTAGTACCTAGGCTAAATTCGGTTAGGGACGTATACCTGGAGGTACAGTGTTTAAGGAGAGCCACACCTCAAGCACGTTAAAGATCCCACCACACTTACCGAAAAAAGCAGGGATCTTTCCTCTTTAAACCTTACAGTTTGGTCTCAAACGTAACTGAAAGGTATCTGTATCTGTATAGCCGGTATAACCGCCCTTCGGCGTAACACACCAGCTTCGCAGGCACGAGGCGCGGCGGCAGCTGGCTACATTACTCCGATCGACTTGTTACACCTAACCCTTGAACATCTAACTCTAGACATTGTTTAAAGCTATGTAGTGACAGCGAGTTCCACTCTGCAATAGTTCTAGGAAAGAATGAATTCTTGAATTGAACACCTCAATCCTTGGTTGATAATTCTGGTACTTGAAGGCATGGCTATTTCTTGTTCTCTTCTGGGCTGGTATTAGGTACTTAGTAGTTGGGACGTCCACCAGTTTATTGGTCATTTTGTACATCATGCACAGTCTGGACATTTTTCTTCTGTCTTCCAGTGACTTCCAGTTTCTTTTCATTTCCATCCAATGAATCACCGTTTGCAAATAGGATTTGGGTTAAAACTTGAAAGACATTTTAATGTTAATTTCAAAAAACTGATATTACTGTATTTGTCCTTTAATCCAGGATTGGTAGGGTGGTATAGCATGAAAACCACATACTTGTTTTAACCCAGCCTGGATGAGATACTAGCTACGGATACAATCTCGTTTCCCGTCGGCTGAACAGACAATCACGTGACCCCTACCCTGATACTAATTATTCCGCCCCTTTACCCTCTGACCCTTCCTCCCTAACCCTCGTAAGGGTCATTCGTGGCTCAACCTTTCTCTGTACGGTCACATTTCCCGCCCAACCCTCCCATGACTAATCCGAGAACACCTGGATTCTAGAACGTTAGTTACGTTTTCTCATCTCATACGACATCGTGTTACCTTAGTTCTTACTGACTTATCTAGACTCGTACCTTTCGTCATAGCACTGTACGTTATCCTCAATGGTACCTGTGACATAGCGTACGTAATCAGTTGTTACATAACCTTCATGTTGTCTCTTCTCTGCAAGATACCTGCCTTGCTAGCGTTCACAGTCACTTTGTGGCCATTGCTGTACTCAGTATGTTGTGTAGTTGTAACCTCTGATATACTCCAGAATTGTGTTATTGTCGTATTTTGAACCACGTTACTTACGAAGGTCAGTAGTTATTCAGGTGTACCTGTAACGCATCATTTGCTTAGCCAGGATGTTTTCAACCTTGTTCACGCAGATGAGCTTTTGAACTTCGCCGGTTAGAAGTTACTTACAAGTCAGGATGCGTTAAACATCCGCTGGACAGAGCCTTGGTTTAACCGACCAGCCCGACTTTGGCTAAACAATTGGCAACCAGGGTAAAATAGGTCGCCAGCTCGCAGCACATGACTTGTTGTTGTTGTATTAGGCTCCTGTATACGTATGTACATGCTATGAGAGCTACATTGTGTAGAGAGTATCGGTGTTACTGAGTTGATGAGCCAATTGCAATAAATGCCCGACCGTACTGAGGTGACGGTGAGCTCTCTTCTTCGCAAGAGAACTATCAGTGTGGACACTGAACCGTCGATTGAACTGATATACACATACTTCACTCTGCAGCGCGGTATTTCACAAACCTTGGCTAAACTTCAATACTTACCGTAGGGCGTGCAGAGGGCGGGCCGGGCCGGGTGTGTGTGGCGGGGGGCACGCGAGTACGTGCGGGCAATACTCAAGTACTCTCCAAGCAGAGGTTTGGGTTGAGAAAAATGGGGTATTGTCTTTGGCGTGTGTTTGTGTTTCCGCAAATTTGTAGTCAGCCTAACTTGTGATGATATGATATTTTGTATATTGGTAGGTAGTAGGGAGACAAAGGTCAAGGTCAAATATGGGCCTCCTTGTGGCTGACCTTGGTACTGCAACAGAACATCTTTTGATCTGAACATGCTAAGTTCTTGGATTTTTGGTGACAGATAGCTTTTCCTGTCAGGAATGAGTGGTGTGGGTTTTGTCCCCCTAGCAGCTTGTTTTGGGTTTTGTTCTGTTTTTTGGTTCGTTGATCGGGATTTCTATTTATGCACTGCATCTTTTTGGGTTTGCGTAAAAAAACATTTTTTTTCTGTGGTAGCAACAGAAACAAACGGGGCATATTAGAAAGGTCACAGTTTTCCCCACCAACCTCTGCTTGGAGAGTAGCATTAAGTAATATCCAAGCAGGTATTTTTGGTGGCTACAAGACAGTTAAGTATCAAATTGGCCAGGCGGTACCCATTTGCCTCCAGTACATAAAAAGAAGGCCCGATAAAAAAAATCTAAAACTCGTACAAAATAAGCTTAGGTCTAAATCTCTACTTGGAAAGTAGGCATTTACGTCTTTTTATGATTTAGTAGTGTAGTTTTTTCAATTTTTTACTCTTAACCCTATCGAGAAAGAAAATTTGGTCGGTAAAACAAGGTATAAAACTTAATTTAAAAGGCCTGGAAATCTTGCACTGAACCTTACATCTGCTCTGAGCTAATAGCTAATGAGAGAGTTAATGGCACTTGGAAGTTGTCGGAGACGGTCATATATTTCTTTCAGTAGACGCGACCAGGCTTTTATACAGTGGGTGGTCGGGGTTTCTAGCCATTCTGGCAAGTCTTAGTAAAACTGTCAGAAGAGATCTACTCGAAGGATTTACTTATTTTGGCACCGCATCTTAACTCGGTGATCTTTGTTTCACAAGACACTGCTTGTTCATTTGACATCAAAATACAGTTGAAATCCAACTTTAAGGGCTCGAAATAAGTTATCTTTCGTGCAAATGAACGTCGAAAGCAAAGCCTTTTCTATACCGAGAAACAAAACATACTAGTAGTCTCCCGACGAAAAGTGCGCGGCCTTTCAAAAGAAATACTATACCGGGTGGAGTTAGGGTGTTGTGCGGTCGGTTGAACGTTACTGTAGCGTTCTGTAATCGTTACAGTGGAAGGAATGCGTACTTACACCGGCTGTCTGACTCGTAGTTGTAGGAAGGACTGCTGTACGGATAATAATGCTGAGCCCTGCAAGTCTCCAGGATCATCCAAATCAGCCACTTACTGCAAAACCTCGCCATATCTTTGCCAAGTCGGCACCAGCCCAAACCGCGGTCGCAAAAAAATTTTGCCAGGAAGCGTCCGGGACACACACGGCACACTTGGCGCGATCTCGACGTCTTGATCAAGCGGAGTCCGGGGTTGGCAACCGGCCTAGATTTTCCCCCTCTTCTTCTTCACATGCGTCGCACACGTGATAGAAATTAGCCGGACGTAAGCCCGACTTAGAGCCGGCTTCAGGGTCTGAGAGAACCGCTCGCTGTGGGGTAGACGCTCTGTGAAGATGAACCTAAGATCTCTACATACACGTCAGAGTACGGACGTCCTCTCCTCGATAAATCTCTAACTGCCAGTGACAGGCCCAGTAGTTCGCGGGATGGTGGGATGGAACGGTGATGACGGAAGACACAACTCACTACTGTCCTATCTTGTCACTGTCGTCCTGGATTCCTGAGTTGACTGGGGCAGAATGAGAACAAACGAATGAGAGAATCACAAAAAGGACGAATGAGAATCTGAGCGACGTATCAGTCGTAAGCGTGGCTGTTTACAAGTGAGAGTGATAGTCTGACCAAGTTCCGTATAGCCTGGGTGCCAGACTGGTTCTAGGGCCTACACAGGCCAGCTCATAGACTCTAGTGCCAACATGTCCCCAAGGAAATTATACTATACCACAGCCCTTCTCAGTTAGCCTGGGTGCCTGACTGTTTCCAGTGTCTACACAGGCCAGTTCCTCGACTCTAGGGCCCACATACCCTCAAGGAAAGTATAGTACAGCCCCCCTCAGTTAGCCTGGGTTCCAGACTGTTTCCAGGGCCTACACAGGCCTGTTCCTCGGCACTAGTGCCAACATGCCCCCAAGGAAATTATACCACAGCCCTCCTCAGTTAGGCCAGACTGTTTCCAGGGCCTACACAGGCCAGTTCCTCGGCTCTAGTGCCAACATGCCCCCAAGGAAATTATACCATAGTCCCCCTCCGTTAGGCCAGACTGTTTCCAGGGCCTACACATGTACAGGCCAGTTCCGCGGCTCTAGGGCCAACATGCCCCCAAGGAAATCATACCACAGCCCCCCTCAGTTAGGCCTCCTCTGGGCCTAGCGTGCTATGGATCTGGCATCCAGGCTATATGGTCCACGGAACCAGTAAACTCGACTTCAGATAAATCTTGTGTGGTATCAGCTAGCTTAGGTTCAGGTTTCACAAGGTTGTGGGGAAGGCAGAGTTTTACCAAGGACAGGGAGACCGCAGTGACACTGACCCTTTGCCGGCTGTCACATGTGTTGTTTCGGGGTATTTCTCTACCGTCTCGCGGCGAGGATTGGCTCAGCTATCATGCAGAAAGTTAATTGTGGTCGTAGACTATGTTGGCAATTGCATTTTCGGGAGCGGCAAACTGTTCTCTTATCGCGGACCAGCTCTATAGCATATCATCTGTCTATTTGGCTAATCTCCAAGCAGATCATACGGTGGCAAGACAGTATCCATTGGCCAGAGGAGTGTCCATTAGCCACCGAATGGCCAATGGATACTGTCTTGACTCCGTATGATCTGCTTGGAGATTATATTCAGCTACTCTTTCCAGCCGATTCCCGAAGCCTGGTAGTGGCTAGAACCTGCTTGGAGATTAGAAACCAGTAGCCTCTACCAGGCTTCGGAAGGCGGCTGGAAAGAATAAAAATAGGCTAAATAGAGAGATAGCATGCCAGGGGAGTTGGTCTGCTGGAGAGAACGGTTTTCCGCTCGGCAAAATGTACTCTCTAGCGGACCAACTCCCCAGGCATGCTATTTCTCTATTTGGCCGATTTCTACTCTTTCCAGCCGCCTCACGAAACCTGGTTGAGGCTAAGCAACCAGTACATCACTTCTCTGTGACGTGTAATACGTGTTTTGACCTGATTCTACGCAGGGAGCTACAAACATAACAGTCTCAGGAGAACTTCACACATCTCACGATCCCTGCCACTTCCCCTTCCCGAAGCCTGGTAGAGACTATAGTTTCTGTTTAACCAGTACATCACTTCTCTGTGACGTGTACTACGTGTTTTGACCTGATTCTACGCAGGGAGCCACAAACATAACAGCCTGAGGAGAACTTCCCGTATCTCACGATCCCTGCCCGGCCGCCCTGACGTGGCCCTTGCTGTGTTTACCTGAACGTGAGAGTCTGAGGACTGAACCGGAGTAAATCATCAAACGGCAGAAGCGTGAACTTTATACGTGCGAACTTGGTGAAAAGATTTAGACTGACTTCTTGAGTTGGAAAACAGTTATCCACCCACTTCTCTTGTGCCTATGCTCTTTTAACTTTTATAACTTCCGTCAGTTCTTCTTAAAGGCATCAGGTGCAGTTTTTAGGGCTTGGAAACCCGACTTTTAAAAGCCAATATTCTAGTCATTTATCTACATACTGAGTTGAAACCACACTATATCCCAGTGTATATTGACCTTCATGGAGCAAAAAGTCCCCTGGGCTGATTTTTAGGGTACCACCCAGAAAATAAAGGACTCATCTTGGGGCTTGTTTCTGCAGTTTTAAATGCCCAAAGTATGAAATGCTGACTCAAATGTGCCACTGTGAAGCAGTATGTGTCAATATCACAAAGATTGCCTTATAATATTTCCAGTTTTGCTGCCCTGAAATCGCATTGGATGCCTTTAAGCTTCCTCATCATTTTCCTTTCGCTGTTGTCTCTTTTTCTGTTTTACCGGTACCGGTACTGTCAACCTGTGTTTTGTTGTTGTTTGTGTCATTGTTGTTGTTTTGTTTACTGTTTACTTTTATAGACAAATGACAGAGCTTACCAGCTTGTTCAAAAAGGCTTGGCACTAGTACTCTCCAAGCCTCAACATACAACGTATCAGTTTGCAGTGGACTTAAAGATGCATTCGTTTAGTACGGGCTCTTTCTCTCTTTCTCAAATTACATTCACCTCAATCGACCCCATATGGCTAAAGAGTTGTCCGCCTGCCAATGTTTCAGACTCATGATTTAAACATGGCCTTGGGCATCGGGTAAATATCCAGTTAAAGAGGAATTAGATACAGGAAATTGGGGGATGGTAGAGCCTAGGGGCCAAGAAAAACTTGATAAGAAACGGTGTTGGTTGACACAAACACAACAGCCCATTCGGTGTACTTGGCAGGCATTGCATTCTGATTTATACTGCAAACTAGAAAGGTAACATTTGCAAAGCAAATGCATAATGTTTACCTTCGCATATGGCCTGCTCTGTTAATTCTTAGTCAAACACATTCCTATACAAGTCAGACAGGAGTATAAATCCCTCTATTGTAAAATTGCAACATGATGTAACCCAACACCAGTTACCATGGTGACAGAGGTCTGGTTCAGGTCATTGACCTCATTGGTTTGGAGAAGAAGAAGAGGAAACAGAGCAAACACAATATATTTTCCTTCGATAAACATAAAAAGTTTTTAAAAATGGCGACCACCGAGGTGCACTGTGGGATAGCGTTTTCAAACGGTCACCGAAACGTCGGCTGTGAATAAAAACACTTGGTTGCGTACAAAGAGTCTTTTTACTCAAAATCAGTAACAGTTGTACACTTTGATGTCAACTCGACCCGTGGCTCTGTGTTGTTAGAACTAGAATGTACTAGTACTGTGTGTAATTTGAACAAAGGTGGCGTACTGTAATTCAATAGTCCAAGCAAGCCTTATTCGATTTTTCCGTGTGATTCCTTCAGTGTCGTCTGATTTCAAGTTCAAGGCCCGGTAAACTTGCGGCTCTGGCTTGTTAGAATTAGAACGTGTGTCATTTGTGACCGCCTTCAAATTTCAAAGGTTGCGTCATTCGATAGTCCAAGCAAGCCTTATTCGATTTTTCCGTGTGATTCCTTCAGTGTCGTCTGATTTCAAGTCGTGCTAAGCTAGCGGCGGCCTTGTTATTGGACTTGACGAGAAGTTTCAGACAGACGCAGTGTCCGTAGCTGACCCGTGACCAGGACCCTGCCCGGGGGCTAACTTGACACTTTCGTCGCCAGGTTGTCTGAGTTAGACTCACTCCACTGTTTAGCAGATACCTAAGGAAGGATCAGAGACAGAAGTGTGGAAAGTTTTAAGACGTTGGAGTGTTTACGACATTGTATCTTGTAGTCGATAATAAAAAAAAAGGTCATGGCCATTGACAGGATCAACAACAGAAACTTTTGCACTCTTGACAGGACCATCCAACCATTTTTCTACGTGCGGTCTGCGGATTCACCACGTATGTGCGAGTACGAGCGACGCGCGTGCCCCGTACGTGCCGTACGAAAGAAGCACGCGTGAGTACGGCCTCCTTACGGTAAAGTTGCAATCGCACGGAGATCGTACGTTGTAAGCACGTACAACTCACTTACCACTTGCGCAACGTACCATGCACGCAACCGCTCACGGCCAGACTTGGCGTGCAGACTAATCTCCAAGCAGATCTTTTGGTGGGGGTAAGACAGTATCAAATTGGCCGGTCTGTATCCATTTCCCCACCCTGGGTGGTACTGTCTTACCCCCACCAAAAGATCTGCTTGGAGATCACGTGCAGACCCCACTCTTACACCTTGCGCAACCGTGCGAGTGACGTGCGTCGACGCCACTCCTTCCCCACGTTTTCAGAAGAAACGTAGCAGACGTAGCCTCCCAAAAAACGTACGGACAAAAAGCACGTATGGTGGGTTGTGACCGAGGCTTAACTGATACCTGAACATCTGCCGAAAGCGTTTACAAGTTGCGTTACTTCCTTCTTTGTGAAGGTTTATTCAATTTCTGGTGTTGGGACTTTGCTATGTTTATAGACCGCCTCGAATCAACTTAACAAGGACTTGAATTAGACTCAGATTTGTTCTAAACTGTTCAACCTGTAGCGGTACTAATAGATTTGTAAGTGTAGAAGCTTCTACAGGAGTTGATAGGTAGACTGACAAACAGCTTATATCAAATCCGAACTATATAAACCCAGGGTCTTCGTAAACCTCGTTTTTATAGGCGGCTTATATAAAAGACACACACACTGAGTACATAAACTGTTGAACTCCTGTGACTCTAGACCTTAAATGCCATCGTCACAGGAGGCCCTCTAACGTTAGGCCACAGCAAGTAATTTTTACTTACCGGGATGACATCAATGCGCGAATTGATATTTGATTTTTGAAAAAAAAAAACAAGAATTGTTTTTGCCCTTCTACGGTGTTCAACATGCCGAAAATGGGCTGGCGTAAAAAAAGTTGTCAGTACAAAAAAAGATAGCCTTAAAACGCCAAAAATAAGACTAAGGGCATACCAACCTTCGCTCAATCGTGACGGGGGGCGGTACAGACTTCCAACGAACTTTGACCCAGTGCAGCTG